AGTTTTATTCCTTCATGATGCAAATGAGAGGTAATCTTTCCTGTTCATGCTGTTTATTTATGTATAGTTTATTTAATAATGCCTTTTTAGTAGCTCAGACTATGTAGCATCGAATGAGAGGATCATAGTGAATAAAAAGTTGGAAAGATGTGGAAGGAAGCAGTCATTGCCTAATTTATAATACTCTCCTGGAATTTGCCTGGAGGGACTGGGAAAAACCACGAAAAACCCCAGCCAGGACAGCTGGTCTCCAGGCCAAGACCTATCGAATACGAAGCAGGAGTGCTAACCACTTGATCATATTGTTGGGATAAACCTCAACATCCATCACTTCCCTGATACTGAATTGAAACACAGAATTTTTATGACCAACTTTTAAAATCCTTGTCTTTATCCTCATGAAGATTTTTCTATTTCTGTATCAAATTCTTTTTGTCACAACAATTCAGAAAGTCTGGAAGCAAAGATGGAGCCACTTTTATCAAATGTGTGCCCCATAGCAGGGAGCCACTGAAGAATCATTATTTAAAAATTTACTAAACCAGAGTATGTTTTTGTTAAATTACTGAGTTACATATAGGCTTTAATGAGTTAAGTCTGGAGATGGTTGGATTTATTACATGTGCTATATATATTTACCTCAAATGTTTTTATTTTCACATCACTCATACTTTGCACAAGCTGTAATGGCACTTGAAGATGAAGACTGGGCGTAAAGATCTGTGTGAGTTCTGGAAGTGATACTGTTCTTCTGAGTGAGTAATGGAATTTGCATGATCCTGTAAGGATAAACTGCAATTACTACAATCTCAATTATGTTTCAGCAGTAAGAAACCTAACTTATATTTGAAGAGGTTTCTTTTTCAGAGTTCAAGATCAAGTTTCCTGCTTAAAGTTTATTTCATTTTCTGTCTCTCCAGCTAATTATCAAGATGTTAGAATTCCTTTCAATTCACCATCTGTAATAGTTATTTTGAATAATATTTTTATTGCAATAGTTGACTGAATTACTAATTGGTAGTAAGGTTCAACACCACTAACACCAAAGCTCACCACTGGACAGGTCACAATGCTAAGCCATTTCCATCTACCACCCATCTACACACCCTATCTTGAGCATATCTTAATATTATCCTTCCACATTCTTGGTCATCTGTGTGGTCATATTCCAAACGTTTCCCCACCAAAATTACGTATGCATTTCTTGTCTGTCCATCCTAGCTACATTCCCAGCCCACAACACCAATCTAACTTTCAAGCTTTTGCTGTCCGAATAATACCAAGTGCTCTGTATAAACCATGATGTTATTCACTGTGTAATATTTTACATTGTTCACTTCATTCAAACTTTGCAGGTCCAAATATTGTCCTAAGCACTTCTCCCAAACACCTGAAATTATGCCCTTCCGTTAAAAAGAGGCCTAAGGGGCAGTGTTTATATAAATACAAATAGGACAATATTATTGTTTTTGTGGTTGATAGTTTCATTAAAAGTAATAAATTTTTAAGGATCATATTTTGCAGGCTGAACCTATTCTGTTTGCTATGTTTTTCCCAATTCTTCAGTAGTCTATTTTTAGAACTTACGATTTGTTGGCAAAGATGCCAAATTAGTAGGTTCATTATCTGGTGAAGAAAACTGAACATCCAGCTCCTGTAATTTTGCAGCCACTGGTCTGAAATCCAGTGGGGAAGCAGTACTTTGAATTTTGGAGTTGACTTGCTCAGGTACATCAATTGTGAATGGTGGTAGTGCACATGGTAGAGAATCTTCTGGTATATTATCATTCTTAGTTTCTTCTGCAGTTCTAGCTTCATGCATACATAATTTATGAATATAATATGATGGCCTTTTCAATTTGCTTAAAATGTGAATAGATGTGGATGATAAATGACACATGTCTGGGCATAAACCATCTGCCTTAATACTACTACAATTTAAATTAACTTTCTGAAGGTCATGCTCTGTACTTTGAGCTGTATCACTGTTTGACATATTCTTCTCCTCATAGGAATGTGCCAAATTAATATGTGGGTAAAGGAGAGACTCTGCTTCTCTATTGTCACTATCCACCTCCTTTAGAATGTAGTTGAATTTTGTGGCTTCTAGTTTTGCACTTTCCAAAACACTGTGGTGATCTTTAACATCCACATTTGTGCTTGTTTTGTTTCTGTTATCATGCAAAATACTAGGAAGTAGTCTATTAAATGTTACACTTTTATGTACCGGATATGAATATGGGCCTCCTGATGAAGGTCTCGTTGAGATTTCTTGGTTTGTGTTCGTCCGTGAGACGCTTGAAGCTATAGCTGACTTGGGACGTATCCTCTGCTCAATTGACTTTTTGTTTAATGAGGAAACCTCCATGGAATCACAATGACTTTGGAACTTGACTGCTTTTGGTTTGGTAACACCATATTTTATTATAGGACATTTCACAATTGTAATATTTGTCTTTTGTAGTATCGGTATTGCTTTCTGACTTTGTATCTTATTTGAACCTAATTCAGAATTGTAATATCTGTTACATGTATCTGGAATCTCTTTTAGTTTGCTACCTTCTTTTTCATATAAATCTGTAGTGAAATTAAACACTCTCTCAGTTACAGCACTGTTCTTAACTTGGGTTCTAACACTGTATACTGATGTACATGGCAAGGACACAATCAAAGAGTTTTGAGTATTTTCTTTGTTTTCCTCTCTTAAACCTGGAGACTCATCACAGGCTTTTATGCTTCCATTATCACATTTGAGAATACTGTCAATTTTTATACCTAGGCACTTTTTATGTTTGTCACAATCTGAGCTGTTATGCTGGTACATGTTGTCAAGTTTGTTGGTTTCAATGGCAGTACTGCTGACTTTATATTCTGTCTGATAGTCCTTCAGTCCATTCTCATGAATCACATCAGCTGTTCTGGCTACTCGTATTATTGGTAATCCATTAGCAGATACTTCATCTGAAATATGTTGTAATAGTGACTGATTATTATTGTTTACACATGTTTGTGTCATATCACTGTCCCCAGATGTACTATTGACTGTGGTAGGTTTGTCAACGGACACCATACAGAGTCTTGGAGAAGGTAAAGGAGAATGTCTTCTCTTGCGATCTTCACAACTTGATCGTCTTTTAATTGCCCTTTGTTTCACGCATTTTCTGTAAGAATGATACTGTGTTGCTGTTTTTGTCCTTCGCTTTCTATGAGGTGGGGGTAAAAACTCATCACCATACTGTGTAGCATGCAGGACTACAGGGGCATCTTGAACTGCATCAAGCAAAATTTGTGTCTGACTCAGCTGATTTTTATATTCGCCTTTCAACTTTTGATCCATCTGTTTATCTATTTTTGGTACAAATGTTTGTTCTGAACTTTTACATTTCAAATTGGAGTTCATTGACTCCTGGATGACAGTAGCATGTGCTGCAGCTATAACACATGAAAGATCAGTTTGGGTGAATTTACAATTTATATTGTCTCTGCACTGCTTACCTTCAAGAATTACATCTAAAGTTCCAACAGGGCAGTCAACATTTTCACTAATAGTATGTACATGACTCTCTGATTCCGTTGTTACTGTGTCAACATGATAAATGTTTGGTATAGAGTAAGGTCTTTCAATGCTATAAGTCATATTCATAATATTTACTTTGTTCAGAGTATCTGGACTATCCCACTGCTTCCTGTCTCCATATTTTATAACAATATCAGCTGATGATGTTGAATCCATGAGGAAGCCTGGTAACTCCAGTGATGCCTTACCTAATTCCAAACTAGATTCTTTCTTCCACTTCCCTCTGGTCTTAAAAGTTTTGTTTTCATATTCTCTGCAAATAGTTTCATTTTCATTAACAACTTGTATCTTACTCTTGTTGCCTGCTAAAAAATCTGCTTGCTTTTCATCTGAATTTGTGGTATCTTTCCATTGTTCTATAACATGTGATTCATGAGCTGCTTCATCCAATTTAATCAATTTATGGCCATCCATGGGTTCACTGGTTTTGTTGTCTATAGATTTTGTACCTCTGTTTCCCAGTAACTTTTTCTTTTCTTTCTCAAAGGCTTCCATTCTCTTTTTGTCAATTCTTGCTCTCACTCTACTCACAATATTTTTAGTGATAGTATTCTCTGCTTCCAACTGTTCATTGTTCATTCCTAATATACTCTCTACATTCCCATCCCTTGGGTCTCGATCTGCAGTGTTCAGTGTACACTCAGGCTGCATCCTTTCCTTATTATTTGCATTCTGTCGATGTCTTTCACTGTCTTTCTTTCTACTTTGAATCATAAGCTGTCTTTCCTTGAAGTTTTGTAGTCTTATGGTATGAAATGATGTAAGGAGTTCTGAATCAGACACCATGTTTGTAAGCCTGATCATTGTTCTATCGAATCCATCTGGGTTTTCTTGTTTTACAGGAAGTTTTCCTGATTTGTATTGTTTTACATATGGTTTCTCTGATTTCAGCTCCTTTTTCTTGTTACACAGTGTTTGTACTAAGCAACTGGAGCCTAATGTTGCAAGAAAAGTATTTTCTATACTTTGTATGTTGCAGTTCTCATGTACTGCTTCTGATGTAGCAATAATCTTACCTTTGTTTCCTTCATGCAATAAAACATTCTCAATAATGCAACATTTTTCAGGCTCTAATACATTTAGTGCAATGACACCTGCAAATGGTTTCATTATGCACTTGTTAAAAGCTTCAGTAATGTTTCTAGGTTGAACACGATGTTCCCTATTGATCATGTCAATACTGTGTCTTCTTTCCGAGTCGTCCACTACAGTTGAACATATTGAAGACTTTATCTCATCCATTTCTTTATGAACTTGAGGCAGAGCCTCTTCTGACACAGTACTATTCAGTCTTTCAGTTACACTTACTTCACTGTATATTTGTCTCTTAGATACTACTTTGTGTTTAGACAACTGTAACATTTCTGGTGCAGGTGAAGCTACTACTGTCTTCTTGTCATCATATTTACATATTCTTGTTTTCCTGATAACCAATGATGATCCATATTTCAAAGCAGGATCAGTTACGGCTGTTTTTGGCCTTTTGGCAGGCATCTGAGATTTTGACTCTCCAAGTTGATGAAAATATGGACTGGTTATACCAAATTCTTGAGCTTGCTGTGTTTTTGTTAGAAACTTCGGAATTTTCTTTGAAATAAATGTTTTCTTCAGAATAGTATTAATGGATGGCCGCTCTTGCGGGTTTCTTCTAAAGAGTTGTTGAATCAGATTACGCAAATCATTGCTGTAGCATGATGGAAGCTGAGCATATGAGCCTCGAATAATTTTTACAATAAGGTTCTTCATATTTCCTGCCACAAAGGCATGTTTTAGTGCAGCCATCTCATAAAGTATGCATCCTAATGCCCATATATCACTTTTGTTATTATATGGCTTGTTCTCACAAATCTCCGGTGAAAGATAATATGGCGTACCAATGCATGTTTTTGCAAGATCTACTGTGTTCTTCAGAATTTTTGCAATCCCAAAGTCACCCAATTTGACATTATTATCTTTAGTGAGGAAAATATTTTGGGATTTTATGTCCCGGTGAAGAATCTTACGATCATGAACATGCTTTAGGGCAAGGCATATTTGAACAAACCAACTGAGAATCATATCTTCTGAAAAGTATCTTCCCTTCTGAGCATGTTCCCGAATCTTGGTATACAAATCTCCACCTTCACAGTAATCCATTACAATATAGAGATTCCTATCATATTCAAATGATTCTTTATATGCTACAATATATGGATGCTGCATCTTGGCGAGAACCTCAACTTCACGCATTGCTTCATCTTTCTCCTTCTCTGTCATTCTTGACAAGTTGGTCCTTTTTATTACATAATGAACTCCAGTCCTTTTTGATCGGACCAAGTAAGCAGTTCCAAATGAACCTTCCCCAATCTGTTTTTCTTTGACATATCCATCCATTTCTGTAACATTAACACACAATGATCAAATTAATTTACATATGTCACAAAGGCATAATAATAATAATAAAAACAAACTTTAAGGCATAACAGCAACAACAATAATTTTAAGATTATTATTAACCTTTATAAACTGTGCATCACATCACAAGACCATTAAAAAATCTGACCAGTACCCACATTGTAAGGGGTGTCAAATCCTGTTCTTGTACAATAACAGTTAATAATGAATTATTTTTATAAGCAATACCTGTGACGTCAGATGTGTACATAACATTTTCTTAAGTGTCTTACTTACCAAACTGGTTCTGTCCTATACTTTTCCTTTTAATCCTCCTGGCCACTTAATATGACAAATCATGAACACTGACAGTAATGCCCATCAGAGTAGCTGTTTATCGTGAAGGGAAGAGTAGCACAGAAAAGTACTTAATCCATTAAATAAAACAGTTGGCAAATCCTCAGTTTCATTAAATCATGACTTCAATACACAAATAATAAAATGATCATTTCAGAATAATAATATGCATGTTTGAAGCATCCACATAGGTGATGTTTGAACTTAAATGACATTTATAATCATATATAAATACAAGAAATGGCAAAATAAAGCTGTCTTGCAATTCTACTGTAGCAGCTCAAGTAATCTAGCACATTACACATTTACAATAGCTTTGTCCTTCTTGTGTGATTTCCATCTTTCAAGACAACCATATTGCTCCTTTTTCATCAAGATGTTTCACATAGTAAGTAATATTTTAAATGTCATTCATATAAAGTGATACAGATAGAATACAACTAAGCCAAACAGTTCTGGTATGAAAACAGCATACACACAGATAAACACCAATTTTTTAATTCAAGTACTTCAAATATACTAATCATTTAAGATTGCTGGAGGTCATTCTTTTATTAGAAAAACAAATAAACTTTAAAGTATCAGATATAATTAAATGTTCTGAAACGTTAACACAATATGTTTAGATTGTTCTGTAAGATTCATTTCATAATGGTACAATATTAGTTGAAATGCTATGCCACAAAATGCAAATGCGACTAAAGTCCAAAGGCTTAGATTCAATTACAATTGGAGCTTGGAGCGATGTGAAACCTTTGTTACTAAGTGTTACAGGTTTTTATAATATAACATTGAAATTCAGTGAATAAATGAATTAAATAAATACCAACTCAATAATGCTAATAAGTATGGATCAGGAAAATACGATGCTGCTTATCCCAACTACTTACCTGTCTGTTTAATAATGCCTTTAAAAGTTTATATATTATTGTACTCAAAAATGGAAAACTTATAAATGTTTAACTTCAGAAGCCATATAATTCATTATTATCATTCTACTGAGAATAAAAATAATCTTAATTAGCCAAACAATATTTGCCTGAGGCTTTCACATCTTAATCAATGCCACCTGCTGTTTCATTCTCTAAAACTCTTCTTTCCCCTTTGATATTGCCACTGTTCAATAAAAAAAACTACATTTAAACCCTGACCACCTCTCACACTGGTATTTTGTTTGTTACTACTTTGAATTGGCCTTGAATTTGAAAGCACTGGATCAATTTCCCATATAGATTTTACATAGACAGAATATGTGTGTGTGTG